GGGGTCCTCCGCTGCAAGAGAGAGCGTCTCCGTCTCTCCCTTTTCCCCCTCAGGGGTGCGTCATGAGGAGACGGGTGGCGGCGGGCGGGCAGGCAGCCCCTCTCTTGCGAGACTTCCACTGTGCCAGGGGAAGCCGGAGGCGGCGGCTGAGGAGGCAGCCTGAGGGAGGAGGAAGAGGAGGGGATGGGGAGGGACGCAGAAGGGCCGTGGTGCAGCCGCAACCGCCTCATGCCGGGCTCGCGGGCGGCGTGGACGAGAGTCTCCCTCCCTCCCTCCCTCTCTCTCTCGGGCGGGGAAGGGCTGATGGAACTCCTTGCGCCAGGACGACGGCAGCCCCGACTGCTGCTTAGCATACCCTCCAACCAGTGCAGCATCTTAATGTCGTGATTTCCCCCTCTGCATCCCTTTCATAACTCTATTTTTATAAATCATTTGTCCATCCATTGTTCAAATTTTCTGTCAATCCTACCAATGTATGTAACTCTTCACAATAGCTTTTCAAATAAATTATAAACTTTCCCCATTCTTTATTAAAGAGGTCCTCTTCCTGGTTTCTAATTCTGCCTGTAAGCTTTGCCATCTCGATGTCGTTCATGCTCCTCCACCTGCAGCTGCTGGGTGACCTTGGGCCAGTCACACTTCTTTGAAGTCTCTCACCCCCACTCACCTCACAGAGTGTTTGTTGTGGGGGAGGAAGGGAAAGGAGAATGTGAGCCGCTTTGAGACTCCTGAAGGGGAGTGAAAGGCGGGATATCAAATCCAAACTCTTCTTCTTCATCATCAGTTTTGTCTGCCACTCTTCTTTGGTCAGAGTTGTAGACCCTTAGGATCATCTAGTCCAACCCCCTGCAAAACACAGTCAGTCGCAGCCAAAGCAGCATGGCTCCATCAGTGCCAGATTTATGTACAGTGGTGCCTCGCAAGACGAAATTAATTCGTTCTGCGAGTTTTTTCGTCTTGCGAATTTTTCGTCTTGCGAAGCACGGTTTCGGAAAAGTTTTGGAAAAGCTTCAAAAATCACCAAAGTCTTCAAAAACCTCAAAAAAGGCTACCACACCGCGTGCTATGAGTTGCTCCTCGAAGTCAAGTCGCAACTGTATTAACGGTGTTAAGAAAAAGGAAACAAACTTGCAAGACGTTTCCGTCTTGTGAAGCAAGCCCATAGGGAAATTCGTCTTGCGAAGCAACTCAAAAAACCCAAAACCCTTTCGTCTTGTGAGGCATTCGTCTTGCGAGGTACCGCTGTATAAGTTAAGAAAAATCCCTTATTTTGGCTGCTGATCCCTTATGTTCGAGGCTGCTGGTCACTTATTTTCAAATCTGAAAGTTGACAGCTATGGTGTGTGTGTGTGTGTGTGTGTGTGAGAGAGAGAGAGAGAGAGAGAGAGAGAGAGAATATTTGGGATCTGCCGAGTAGAGCATATGTTTCTCAGTGCTTGCATCTCTCCCAAAAGAGCAAGCATCGTTGTAGAGGGTCCAAGAAGCCGTTCGGTCTGCTTTGCATTATCACCCCGTCTCTTGGCCCAGTGGAGAGATGCAAATCTCTTGCCGTGTAGCCAGGACCGAGATCTTTTCAAAGGAAGAAATGAGGCCACAGCTAGATCTTGCTTTGTTGGCAGGGCTCTCGAGAGAGAGTGAGATAAAAGTTCAAAGCGGCGTTGACAAGCTCTTGGACGTTCCCTCTTGCAGGTGCCGTTGACGTGGTCTGATACCATCATTGCCACGACTTTGCTGGCCTGGGATTTCCCCAGCAGGGGAGGGATAATCAGAAGTTAATAAGGCTGTCGGCAAACTCATCGCCGTGCTGCAAGGCGTTGCAGTTAAAGTGGGACAGAACAAGATAAAAGGTCATTGGGAAGATTGGAAATTGTAATTGTAATAATAATAATAATAATAATAATAATAATAATAATAATAATGATAATTTATTTATACCCCGCCCATCTGGTTGGGTTTCTCCAGCCACTCTGGGCGGCTTCCAACGGAATATTAAAATACAATAACCTATTAAACATTAAAAGCTTCCCTAAACAGGGCTGCCTTCAGATGTCTTCTAAAAGTCGGATAGTTGTTTATTTCCTTAACATGTGATGGAAGGGTGTTCCACGGGGCGGGTGCCACTACCGAGAAGGCCCTCTGCCTGGTTCTCTGTAACTTGGCTTCTCGCAGCGAGGGAACCGCAGACGACTCTGGAGGTATGGCTCTCGCTTTATTGGCCGAGGGAGCTGGCGTAAAGCTTCCGGGTCATGTGGCCAGCATGACTAAGCCACTTCTGGCGAACCAGAGCAGCGCACGGAAATGCCGTTTACCTTCCCGCTGGAACAGTACCTATTTATCTACTTGCACTTTGAGGTGCTTTCGAACTGCTAGGTGGGCGGGTGCAGGGACCGAGAAACGGGAGCTCACCCCATCGCAGGGATTCGAACCGCCGACCTTCTGATCAGCAAGTCCTAGGCTCTGTGGTTTAACCCACAGCGCCACCCGCGTCCCTTTGAGACTCCTTAGGGTAGTGATAAAGCGGGATATCAAATCCAAACTCTTTTTCCTCTTCCTCTTCTTCTTCCTTCCTCCTCTTTCCCCCTGCAAACAGCCACAGCTCACCTGCCAGGAAGCGAGCGTAGTGTCTCTGCTCCACATCCGGCGACATATTTATTTCCTCATCTTTTCAATCCCTGACAAGGGCAAGTTCGTGCATGTTGATGAACCACGGGAAAAACTTTAAAATCACCCGAGGTCACCAAACCACCCTGCTCTTCTGAGTCAGCAGTTTACAATATTCAGCTGCGAGTTGTTCAGTAACGGCTGTTTGCAACCGATGCTTGCATATGTATGAGTCGGCTCCAAAGTGCTAGCGTTGCAGGTTTCAGGTTCCGGGTGCAGTTCGGAAGTCCATGCCATACACCCGGCAGCTGGCAGGGGCAAGAAGGGAAGAGGGGCGATATCCACAGGCAACCACTGCAAGATGCTTGGTCCAGGTGCTTTCCATCTTTGCGAAGGTCACATCACACTGGTCTTGGAAGTTTAAGCAATGGGAGGATTGTAAGAATGAAGGGAGTAAAGAAATTTATAATAGAATAAGAATTGTGTATAGGCATAGAGATGGAAAGGCTTGGGGGGGGCAGAATGGGGAAAAAACAGGTTTTTCCCCCCAAAACGCTTTTTTTCCAGGAAAAAACCACTCTCTGTGGAATATTCAAACTATATCAAACTGATTGTTTTTTCATGGGGGAGGGCCTTGGGTTTTTTCCAAATTTTTCCAGGGTTTTTTTTCCAGGCCTTGCCATCTCTAATGAGGCAGCAGGTAATTTGTCTGTAGGGGAAACCTCATGAATGTAAAGCTGGGAAGTCAAAGTGTATGAATTGCACTTTGTGTAAAGTTTATAAAACCAATAAGAATTTAGATATAAAAAAAGAAAGAATTTGAGGAACCAAAGAGTCACATTGAAAAATACGACCTTTGAGCCGCCCGGGCCCAAAATGGCAGCTAGACATTCCATTTTGGTCACCGTAACCCTGGTTTAAGGAGCTGTTCCTATCTTATATATCTTGAGTTTCTAACACTGCTCTAGTCCAGCTGCTTCCCAGTCCAGGATTAACGGAGGACGAAGAACAGGGGCAGATTTAGGAAGGCACCTATTCTCTTCCCCACCTCCTCCTTCCATCATTTTAGTCCTATTTATTTCGTAAACTTTGTACACCTCTTGGTTGCAGAACGTCTCAAAGCGGTTTGCAAAAGAGAAAAAGACCTTTCTCCCTCTTGACTGGAGGATGGCTTCCCCTGGTCCATATTGTGACCTCACGTGTCGCATACTGTGACAGCAGAATAGGCTGGGCAAGTTCAGGCTAGTGATGTCAACCTTTTGGGTACCACTTCCTAGCAAAAAGAGAGAGAGAGAGGGATTATCTGTTGTGCAACGCTCCTCCATACTGGATAGAAAAGTGGGTGCCATTATTATTATTATTATTATTATTATTATTATTATTATATTTTAAATGAAGTGTTTAGATAGTGCTTCTTACCAGCGTACATTGGTACCTTCGTTCTCAAACGCCTTGGTACTCAAACAACTTGGAACCCAAACACTGCAAACCCGGAAATAAGTGTTCCAGTTTCCAAACTTTTATCGGAAGCCAAACGTGCTCCGTTTTGAGTGCCACACTTCCGTTTTGAGTGTTACGCCAAGGTCTGTCTTTTTTTGCTGTTTATTTTGCTTTTTTGTATGTGTGACTCTGTGGAACCCATTTCAGTTACTGATTGATTGATTGTACACTGTTTATTGCTTTCATTTTATGGATCAGTGGTCTCGTTAGATAGTAAAAATCATGTTCAATTGCTGTTTTAGGGGTTGCTTTGAAAAGTCTGGAACGGATTAATCCATTTTGTATTGCTTTCTATGGGAAAGTACGCCTTGGTTTTGGAACGTTTTGGTTTTGGAACAGACTTCCAGAACGGATTAAGTTTGAGAATCAACTGTACTATAGTCACTGTACTATATATCTGTATATAAGAGCCGGTGTTAGAAACTCATATACAGTGGTACCTCTGGTTGCAAATGGGATCCATTCTGGAGACCCGTTCGCAACATGAAAAGAACACAATCTGCAGCAGCGCGTCTGCGCATGCGCAGGTTGCAACTTGCCACTTCTGCGCACACGCATGATGTCATTTTGTGCTTCTGTGCTTGCATGAGCGGCGAAACCTGGAAGTAACCCTTTCTGGTACTTCGGGACATGAGGTATGACTGTATATAAGTTGGGTGCCAAATGGCTCCTTAAACCAAGGTTGAAGTCGCCAAATTGGAACATCTGGTTGCCTATATTATTATAGGTTATTGTATTTTAGTGTTCTGTTGGAAGCCAGATGGGCGGGGTATGAATATTATTATTATTATTATTATTATTATTATTATTATTATATGTCCATATCGATGGAGACTTTTCCACTGACCAGAGACCCTTCCCTTCTTTTTTTCCCTCTCCCCCATTTCCCCTTCTTCCAGATTGTCTCGTATGCTGAAAGGCTGTCGATTTATGGAGGGTCCCGGGTGCAGCTTTGAGCACTGCCCCGCGCAACATCCTGCCCGCTGAAGGAAGGACGCCGCCGCCCCGCCCCAAACCGGGCGCCCTGAGTCGTCGGGCTTCACCATTCAGGTCTCCTGTGCATGGCTCTTACAGCCCAAGGAGGACTTTTGCCACCCGCTGCCCCAGCCTGAGCCGCCCCGGGTCCCCATCGCTGCCCCCAAATATTCTACATATCCAGATGGGGTAACGTGATGGCGCAGGACGGACGCCGGTGGGGTTAACCGAATGCAGAGGCCTTTCTAAAGAGGGGGAAGAGAGAGATAGAGAGAGCCCAGGCAGGGAAGCGAAGCAGCAGCGAAGGACGTCTAAAATTGCACACACAAAGGAAATTGACACTACAGCAGGTTTTGGTTTTGTTTTGATATTTTTTTTGCTCAGCAACAAGCAAGCACAGGGTTCCTTCCCCCCCCCCCTTAACCGTATGGTTTAGAGAATCCGGCCTGCGCTCTCCCCAAAGCTGGGAATATTTTGCACAACATTTGTGTTGGGGGGAGAAAAGATAGCCTTTTGCCAAACTCTTCCGTTTCCTTTTTCGCCCTGCAAATCTTCTCTTTTCCCCCCCCCACCTGCTTTGCGGGCGTGTTGGATTTTGGTGTGTGTGCATTTGTCCCCCCCCCCTCCAACCAATCTTGAGACCCCCACTCCTTCCTCCGCCATGGCCCGCATGAACCGCCCGGCGCCTGTGGAGGTTTGCTACAAGAACATGCGATTCCTGATTACTCACAACCCAACCAACGCCACTCTGAACACCTTCATCGAGGTAAGTCCGCCTGAGCAATTTGGAAACGTTGGGGTTGAATCGGATTCTGTGTTCACCCGTAGGTTTAAAGGCCCTCTTGCAGGTTCCACCAATACAATGGTACCTAGGGTTACATACGCTTCAGGTTACAGACTCCACTAACACAGAAATAGTGCTTCAGGTTAAGAACTTTGCTTCAGGATGAGAACAGAAATTGTGCAGCAGCGGTGCGACGGCAGCAGGAGGCCCCATTAGCTAAAGTGGTGCTTCAGGTTAAGAACAGTTTCAGGTTAAGTACGGACCTCCAGAACGAATTAAGTACTTAACCCAAGGTACCACTGTAATAATCATCATCATCATATATTTGTACCCTGCCCATCTGGCTGGGTTTCCCCAGCCACTCTGGGCAGCTTCCAACAAAGATTAAAAATACATTAACATGTCACACATTAAAAGCTTCCCTGAACAGGGCTGCCTTCAGATGTCTTCTGAATGTCAGGTAGTTGTTTATCTCTTTGACATCTGATGGGAGGGCATTCCACAGGGCAGGCGCCACCACCGAGAAGGCCCTCTGCCTGGTTCCCTGTAGCTTTACTTCTCGCAGCGAGGGAACCGCCAGAAGGCCCTCGGCGCTGGACCTCAGCGTCTGGGCAGAACGATGGAGGTGGAGACGCTCCTTCAGGTATACAGGGCCGAGGCCATATATGTTGGTGTTCCGCTCTAGCAGATGTTTTTGAGGGGGACGGGCGCAAAGGGCAGCGGCCAACGAAACAGTTGTGCGAGGGGGAACGAGGAACCTGCGCGAGGGACACTGCTGCCACCCCCAAATCTGCTTTATTTGGTTCTGGGAAACCGCAGAACCGATTTAGGGGATAAACCAGGGAGGGAGAATCCCATTGTTACTGCTTTGGAATACAACCCAAAAAAAGACTACATCACTTTTCTAGGAGTCTGTTCCAGAAATGTTGCAAGGAAAGAGGGAGATTCCTGGTCCCTATCCAATCTCAGGTCAAGGGCACATCGAATTAAGAGCTGGAGAGAAAGACACTCTTTTCTCCCACCGCAAAAGCGCTCCTAGGGATTTCAGGGAGTTGGAGCAGCTGTAGAGTAGAATTTCGGGAGTCTCCCATCCCGGTTAAAGGCAGAGGGTGAGAGACTTAAGCTTGCACATTCTTACATGTCAAACAAAGAAGGGTGTATTTTCCCCCGACGTTCTCTCACTGTTAACTGGAGAGGGATTCAGTCTGAATGTTAGGTGCCTTGTTCAGAAAGCCGCCTTAGTCACCATAGGAGCTCCTGACGGCTCCAGAGTATGTGAAGATTACCTGAAGTTCTGACGTACTTGGAAAATTCTCAAGGACCTCGGCTGCCAGCGGTTCAGATAAGCCACAAACTTTTGGCACCGCCGCTCCTGCAGAAAATTGCTTCTGCAGTCTTCACGTCCAACTCCTAGACGGAGGGACCGTTTATTTAGCCTACTTAAAGGTTACTCGCTTGCTGAACTTTCGGCCTACTCGGTGTCTGTATCAGCCGTCGCGTTTGTAGGCTGCAAAATAAAACCATTTTGGATAGATCTGTGGTTCCCAGACACTTTCAGGATACTGCCTCCTCGGTTCCAGAAACTCACCCCCAAATTCCCCTTGCCCTGCCCTATGAAAAAAGCATCAATCAGAATATCGGTTTGCACAGCCCACTAAGAAAGATAACACAATAAAATTCAAAGCAGTAACAATTGCGCGTTCATTCTGAAAGCAAGTAAAACTGTTTAGTTGAATTAAGACCAGCTTTCCAAAGCGTGAAAGTCATTCCGCACCCCGCTTGCCCCTTAGCACTGACCCCCAAGTTATCCCAGTGCACCCAGCGGGTGGTTCCTTTTCTCCCTGTTTTCCTGGAGATGGTTCTTGCTCGGCAAGGGATCTGGTTCGCAGAAAGATTGTTTTGGCTGAATTGTAATTGGTAATAATTAGACCAGCAAGGTCAAAACTGTCTGCATGGAGCCGGTGGAAGGGCTCAAAGTGTCATCATTCTTCAGCCCATCATTCTTCAGACCCCCCAAAACAGCAAGTTGCCCATTTGAAACAGGGGTGGTCACCCTTTTAGCCTCTCGAAAGGGCACTCAACTACAAATCCCATCATCCTTGACCCTGCTGGCCAGGGATGATGATGATGATGATGATTTATTATTTATTATTTATATTTATTATTTATATCCCGCCCATCTGGCTGGGTTTCCCCAGCCACTCTGGGCAGCTTCCAACAAAGTATTAAAATGCATTAGTCTGTTAAACTTTAAAAGATTCCCTAAACAGGGCTGCCTTCAGATGTCTTCTAAAAGTCTGGTAGTTGCTCTTCTCTTTGACATCTGGTGAGAGGGTGTTCCACAGAGTGGGCGCCACTACTGAGAAGGCCCTCTGCCTGGTTCCCTGTAACTTGGTTTCTCGCAGGGAGGGAACCGCCAGAAGGCCCTCGGTGCTGGACCTCAGTATCCGGGCTGAACGATGGGGGTGGAGACGCTCCTTCAGGTATACTGGACCGAGGCCGTTTAGGGCTTTAAAGGTCAGCACCAACACTTTGAATTGTGCTCGGATACGTACTGGGAGCCAATGTAGGTCTTTCAATCATGGGAGTTGCTAGTGCACCTGGAAGAGCAAACTGGAAGGGGTAGCTAATACCGCAGAAGACAGAATTGGGATTCAAGGTGACCTTAACGGATTGGAGAACTGGGCCCAAACTAACCCAGTGAATTTCAATAGGGACAAATGGGAGGTTCTGCTCTAGGAACACCTGGCTTACTAGCACACATGTGAAAAGGATCTAGGGATCTTGGTGGATCACAAGCTGAACATGAGTCAACAGTGTGATGCAGCAGCAAAAAAAGCTAATGCTATTCTAGGCTGCATCAACAGAAGTATAGTGTCCAGATCAAGGGAAGTAATAGTCCTGCTCTATTAGCCTTGGTCAGACCACACCTGGAATACTGTGTCCAGTTCTGGGCACATAATCTAAGAAGGATGTTGACAAACTGGAAGGTGTGCAGAGGAGGGAGACCAAGATGATCAGGGGTCTGGAAACCAAGCCTTATGAGGAATGGTTGAAGGAGCTGGGTATGTTTAGCCTGGAAAAGAGGAGACTGAGAGGAGATATGATAGCCATCTTCAAATATCTCAAGGGCTGTCACATGGAAGAGGGAGCAAGCTTGTTTTCTCCTGCTCTGGATGGTAGGACTCAAACCCATGGCTTCAAGTTACAAGAAAGGAGACTCCGACTCAACATCCGGAAGTACTTTTTGAGAGCAAGAGCTGTTTGACAGTGGAACAGACCCCCACAAGAGGTTGTGAACTCTCTTTCCTTGGAGGTTTTTAAGCAGAGGTAGAATGGCCATCTGTCAGGGATGCTTGTGTTGAGATTCCTGCATTGCAACGGGTTGGACTGAATGACCCCTGGGTCCCTTCCAACTCTGATTCTATGAAGCCACCAGCCACAACTTTGTTCTCTTAGGCTGTGTGCACATTTTACCTTTAAAGCCCATTCCATGCATATTTGCCCGCCCTCACATTATTCTGGGCAATGTAGTTTGTCAGGGGTTGTTTGGGATTGTGCCTTTGCGAGGGATAAACTACATTGCCCAGAATTCTTTGCTGGTTGGGGGGGGGAGTGATCTGATTCTGCTTTAAAAGCTATCATGTAAACTTAGCCATAGTTTCCCCCTCCCCCCATTTATTTATTTTTATAGGGGCGGTTGAGAAGCAAGTATTCAGACCACATTTGGCAGGAGGTTCTGACCGCTTTGGCGGCTGAGCTTGCCCAGGCAGATCTTTGGGAATGCTGAATTACGTCACCTGGTAACCAAACCAGGTGCCTGGCTGCTTGTTCTTCCCAAAAGCACCCCTTGCTTTTACTTTGCATGAATGTACTTCCGTCACTCTGCTTTGCCACAGGTCCCTTCCTGTGTCCCTATTGCCTTTTTTGTTTTGTTTTTAAAGCCCACCCAGATCTGCTTAACATTTGCTGGGCAGTTTTTGCCCTCCCCTTTATACCTGGGCTTACGGCCAGGATGCTGTTTTTAGCTGTTCGTCTCTTCTCTCCCCCCCCCATAGGCCCCCAAAACAGCTCTGTTGTCCGCAGATGTTGATCTGGTTACGTGGGCAACTCAGCGAACTTGCAGCATACCTACCGGGATTAAAAATAAATGCCCTCGTTTAACCTTTGAGGGAGCAGCAAGGAATATCGCTGCCTTCCCTGGCTGGAGTCTGCTTTCTCTAAAGTAGGACTTGGAAGGAGAACCTTGTGGGAGGAGGAGCGACTAGGCCAAGGATGCCGGACCTCAGCCGAGTGTAGCCTTCCAGACCTCCCTCTCTGGCCCATGAGATCTAGTAACTTCATCCTGTATTTAAAACCCACAAGATCTACCGAGAGCAAGTCTTTGCCCTGCTCTTTGTAGCAGCCCTTTGGGGATTTTAAGACAGTCATCTATGGCCCCACTTTGGGTAGTACACTGGTACCTCTGGTTGCGAACAGGATCCGTTCCAGAGCCCCGTTCGCAACCTGAGAAAAACGCAACCCCGCGTCTGCGCATGCCGTCATTTTGAGCGCATGCGCGAGTGGCGAAACCCTAAAGTAACCCTTTCTGGTATTTCTGGGTCGCCGCGGGACGCAACCTGAAAACGTTCAACCTGAAGCAAGTGCAACACGAGGTATGACTGTAGCTGTATCGTGGGCATAGAAGGCTAGATTTGTAGAGTAGTGTTGTCAGTCTCAACTAAGGCATTTATGACAGGCGAGCGTCCAACCTCTGTTGAAAAACCTCCAAGGAAGGAGAGTCCATCACCCTCTTACTGTCAGAAAGCTTTTCCTGATGTTAAACTGAAATCTCCTTTCTTGTAACTTGATGCCGTGGGTTCGAGTCCTACTCTCCGGCTTGCCAACAGCCTTCTTAAATTGTGGCATCTAGAACTGGACACGGTACTCCGAGGTGTGGTCTGACCAAGACATAATAGAGTGGTACTATTACTTCCCTTGGGACGCGGGTGGTGCTGTGGGTTAAACCACAGAGCCTAGGGCTTGCCGATCAGAAGGTTAGCGGTTTGAATCCCCGCAACAGGGTGAGCTCCCGTTGCTCAGTCCCTGCTCCTGCCAACCTAGCAGTTCAAAAGCACGCCAGTGCAAGTAGATAAATAGGTACCGCTCCGGCGGGAAGGTAAACAGCGTTTCCGTGCGCTGCTCTGGTTTGTCAGAAGCGGCTTAGTCATGCTTCTGCCCAGACGCTGATGTCCAGCTCTGAGGGCCTTCTGGCGGTTCCCTCATAGCGAGAGATAAACAACTACCTGACATTCAGAAGACATCTTAAGGCAGCCCTGTTCAGGGAAGTTTTTAATGTGTGACACCAGATGGGCGGGGTACAAATAATAAATTATTATTATTATTATTATTATTATTATTATTATTATTATTATTATTATTATTTGCTAAAACTACAATAAGAGAGACAAAGTTATATACCCCATAGATTAGAAAAATGCACAAGGAGCAGTGGTCATGTGGATATGTAACCACTGCTACCAGTTGCATGAAGTAACTATTCCCAGGTGGCGCTCGTTACAGGGAGACTGAATTGCAGTAATTCAGTTTAAAGGTACAGAGCAATATTGCAGCAATAAGAAAACATTATACTTCTACGGACTTTCAAAGATTGATTGGTCTTCGTGTTGTTTGTTGTGTCAAGTTTGCAACACAGGGGTTTGTTGTTCTGTATTAAAGATTCCTTCGCGGCAGGAGGTTAGACCAGAATGACCCTTGTGGTCAGTCTACGAAGCCAGGATTCAGGCCAGGCGAGCTAAAGTCTTCTTTCCCCTTCCTCCCCCGCGCAGGACCTGAAGAAATACGGTGCGACGACAGTCGTGAGGGTTTGCGAAGTTACCTATGACAAGACTCCGCTGGAGAAAGATGGCATCACTGTCATGGTATGTGCCCTGGTCCCATAGACAGCCTTGGGAAGGCTGAAATGTCTCAAGCGTCTTCAAGTTTCCAGGTCTGATAACATGGCCAGTTTTGTTTTACTTTTCGCAATGCTTCGGTGTACATTGGTTGTTTAAGGAGTGCTTTTTAGCTCTGTACTGTTCGCGACTTCGCATTGTGGCCGCCTACCATTAGGGTTTTGCGATAATCTGGTTTTCAGCATTGTGATAGACCGCAAACTTAACTATCGTGATACACCAGTATAAGTTACAGGGAACCAGGCAGAGGGCCTTCTCGGTGGTGGCACCCGCCCTCTGGAACGCCCTCCCACCAGATGTCAAAGAGAAAAACAACTACCTGACATTTAGAAGATATCTGAAGGCAACCCTGTTTAGGGAAGCTTTTAATGTTTAATATTCTGTTGGGAGCCGCCCAGAGTGGCTGGGGAAACCCAGCCAGATGGGCGGGGTATAAATAATAAATAATTATTATTATTATTATTTATCATCATGATGCTGAGGTCCTGGGAGGGAGGGAGCAAGAGGAGCGAAAGAGCCCTCCAGTGGTTCCCAGCGATCGCTCCGGCATGACCTTCCCAGCGATGGCCCCTCACGGCAATATACTGTCATTCTGAAGCCGTTATCGCAAACACTGTTGATGCAGGTATTGATCTCCTCCAAGACTAAAATCATTGGGATTTTGTTTGTTTTTTGGAAAACGTAGCCCTCAATATGCTTCCCCCCCCCCCTGCTCTGGAGGGTAGGACTCGAACCCGTGGCTTCAAGTTACAAAAAAGGAGATTCTGACTAAACATTTGGAATAACTTCCAGACAGTAAGAGCTGTTTGACAGCGGAACGGTTTCCCTCAATAGGTGGTGGATTTTACTTCCATGGAGGTTTTTAAGCAGAGATTGGTCAGCCATCTGTCCGGGATGCTTTAGCTGAGATTCTGCATTACAAGGGGGCTGGACTAGATGACATTTGATATCCCCTTCCAGCTGTTAAGATTCTATGAATATAAATGGAGATGGGATCAACTAGAGCAAATATTAATATAATATAATATAATATAATATAATATAATATAATATAATATAATATAATATAATAGGATCAACTAGAGCAAATATTAATATAATATAATAATATAATATAATATAATAATATAATATAATATAATATAATATAATATAATATAATATAATATAATATAATATAATATAATATAATATAATAATAAATTTTTATTTATACTTCAATTTAAAATACAGGTTAAAATATAATTTAAAATGCAGCCTCATTTTAATAGTAGCCCATAGAACAAAACCATAAGGGAACCATAAGGTTTTATGAGGAAAACATAAGGGTCAGACTGAGTCCAAACCAAAGGCCAGGCGGAACAGCTCTGTCTTGCAGGCCCTGCGGAAAGATGTCAAGTCCTGCAGGGCCCTAGTCTCTTGTGACAGAGCGTTCCACCAAGTCGGGGCCAATACTGAAAAGGCCCTGGTCCTAGTTTAGACCAATCTAACCACCTGGCCCCCTCCAGAAGCAGGAAGATGCCTGGGCAGGCTGGCTGGCTGGCTGGCTCACCCTGTGCCTTCTGCAGGGAATGAATGGTGGAGAGTTTTAAAGGGGCTTGGATATGAAACCAGCTGCTCGCGTTACCCTCTGTGATTATCTCGCAGGGAAGGAATGAAATTGCGCATGTTTCAGCAGCTGCCTTTGATTGTTTGAAGCCGTCAGCAAAAGAAAAAGAACTGGGTTCTGTTTTTTTTTCAAGCACCTGTTCTGCCCTTTTAATTAGAAATAATTAAAGACGGCGTTAAGACACAACCTTCTGTGCTCAGGGCAAAGAACAGCGTGGGAGAAGGTTGTGGCTTTGCTCAGGTGTAATCTTTGCTTCCTGCTCCAGAATGCATGCTTCCAGATCAGTAGTATCGTTTCAGGCAGCTCTGTCTAGTTTCAAGCCCAGACTCAGGGCAATATGCTTCCCAAAAGTCGGGAGGTAACTTAACTGGTGGGGACACGGGTGGCGCTGTGGGGACGCGGGTGGCGCTGTGGGTTAAACCACAGAGCCTAGGACTTGCCGATCAGAAGGTCGGGGGTTCGAATCCCCGAGACAGGGTGAGCTCCTGTTGCTCAGTCTCTGCTCCTGCCCAACCTAGCAGTTTGAAAGGACGTCAAAGTTGTTGTTGTTGTTTAGTCGTTTAGTCGTGTCCGACTCTTCGTGACCCCATGGACCAGAGCACGCCAGGCACTTCTGTCTTCCACTGCCTCCCGCAGTTTGGTCAAACTCATGCTGGTAGCTTCGAGAACACTGTCCAACCATCTTGTCCTCTGTCGTCCCCTTCTCCTTGTGCCCTCCATCTTTCCCAACATCAGGGTCTTTTCCAGGGAGTCTTCTCTTCTCATGAGGTGGCCAAAGTATTGGAGCCTCAGCTTCAGGATCTGTCCTTCCAGTGAGCATTCAGGGCTGATTTCCTTCAGAATGGATAGGTTTGGTCTTCTTGCAGTCCATGGGACTCTCAAGAGTCTCCTCCAGCACCAGCACATCAAAGTGCAAGTAGATAAATAGGTACCACTCCGGCGGGAAGGTAAACGGCGTTTCCATGCGCTGCTCTGGCTTGCCAGAAGTGGCTTAGTCATGCTGGCCACATGACCCGGAAGCTGTACGCCGGCTCCCTTGGCCAATAAAGCGAGATGAGCGCCACAACCCCAAAGTCGGCCACGAATGGACTTAATGGTCAGGGGTCCCTTTACCTTCAACTTAACCGGAGGACTCTTTACATAAGCTTTGGTAAGATCTGAGAAGCAGTACAGTCATACCTCATGTTACGTTCGGTTCAGGTTAGGTCTTTTCAGGTTGCGTCCCGCAGCAACCTGGAAGTACCAGAAAGGGTTACTTCCGGGTTTTGCCACTTGGGCATGAGCAGATACGCAAAATGACATCACACGCATGCGCAGAAGTGGCGAATTGCAACCCGCGCGTGCACAGACGCGGATTGCGTTCCTCTCAGTTTGCGAACGGGGCTCCGGAACGGATCCCGTTCACAACCAGAGGTACCACTGTACAGTGGTTCCTTGGTTCTCAAGCGTAATCCGTTCCGGAAGTCCGTTCCAAAACCAAAGTGTTCCAAAACCAAGGCGCACTTTCCCACAGAAAGCAATGCAAAATGGATAAATCTGTTCCAGACTTTTAAAAACAACCCCTGAAACAGCAGTTTCACATGAATTTTACTATCTAACAAGACCATTGATCCATAAAATGAAAGCGATAAACAATGTACTGCAGTCATACAATCAGTCAATGAGTAACTGAACTGCCTATATATTTTTCATTTAAGCACATGTTCCGTACCACAATTTTTGCTTTATTTTTAACTTGGGGCACCGATAGCCCACCCAAGAGAGGTGGAGTTAGAGTGTTGGACTGGGACCTGGGAGACCAGGGTTCAAATTGAAGCTCATTGGACGACCTTAGAGTTAAGTCACAGCCTCTCAGCCTAACCCACCTCGCAGGGCTGTTGTGAGGACTGAGGGGGAGCATGCAACTTTGATCTCCTAGGAGAAAAAAGTGGGATATAAATGCAGTAAAATCAGTCTTTAGGATTCATAAATATCGATTATGACAAACACCGCAAAATTAGCACGAGAAACCTGCTTCTCAGAGTCTTATCGGGGCGAAGGGAGAAATCCCTTAAGATGGGATGTTGTTACGAGCGGCTGGCAGATGAGCCAGGGTGTAGCTGGGAGTGAAGATTTCATCCGAAGGCACGAGCCAGCTTTGTGAGCCTGGCATAAGGCGATTAACTGTCAAGGAGCAAAGGCAGGGCAGGATTTGGGTAAAAATAGAAGGCACAGAGGCAGACTGCAGAGTCCCTTTTAACTTTTATTTGCACAATCTGCACAACAACAATAATAATAATACTGCTGTAGTACCTCTGGTTGTGAACGGGATCAGTTCCGGAGGCCCGTTCGCAACATGAAAACAGCGCAACCTGCAGCGGCACGTCTGCGCATGTGTGGGTTGCGATTCGGCGTTTATGTGCATGCGCATGTCATTTTGCGCTTCTGCGCATGCGCGAGTGGCGAAACCCGGAAGTAACCCTTTCCGGTACTTCCGGGTCGTGCGGGATGTAACCTAAAAGAACGTAACATGAAGCATGACTAATAATAATAATAATAATAATAATAATAATAATAATGTACTGTTTGTCCCTTCAGGTTCGTTGTTTGCAAATGTCAATAAATAAGGAAGACTTAGGGACGCGGGTGGTGCTGTGGGTAAAAGCCTCAGTGCCTAGGGCTTGCCGATCGAAAGGTCAGCGGTTCAAATCCCCGCGGCGGGGTGCGCTCCCGCTGCTCGGTCCCAGCGCCTGCCAACCTAGCAGTTCGAAAGCACCCCCAGGTGCAAGTAGATAAATAGGGACCGTTTACTGGCGGGAAGGTAAACGGCGTTTTCCGTGTGCTGCTCTGGCTCGCCAGATGCAGCTTTGTCACGCTGGCCACGTGACCCGGAAGTGTCTCCGGACAGCGCTGGCCCCTGGCCTCTTAAGTGAGATGGGCGCACAACCCCAGAGTCTGGCAAGACTGGCCCGTACGGGCAGGGGTAACTTTACCTTTAAGGAAGACTTGGGGTGTTGGGATCCCCAAGTTGCTCTCCTGTGGCCTGGTTCACATATCACAAGTAAGCCAACCTCCCTTACCAAGGGCTGCAGTCAAGGCTTGTTCTTAGCTACAGCTCGTGGTGAGCGAGAAACAAGCTTTTCCTGGGCACAGCGGAGGAGCAAAAGGAACCAGCACATCCTCAGTAAGCCATAGTTACCGCGACACGTGAGTGAGGCATGTTGTTAACGGAGAAATCCGAGGGCTCCCTTGGACAAAAAAAACAAGGACACCAGCCAGGAATATCAGAGCAAAACAGCAGCCAGTTGGCTTAGTCTTTATTGAAGACTGTCGCGACAGGACTCCCACCTGCCACAAGGTGGGACAAGATGGAAGCCCC